GGCCGGAGCCATGTCAGCCATTTTGTGGTGCTGGATTGGTGCGGTTGGGTGCCTTCACAGAGAGCAGGGCTCACCACCCTCGGATCCAACGTGGAACCTGAGTAGGGAGTCCTCAAAGACCAGTGCTTTTCATCCACAAGCGACCTGGTGGATTCATTGCAAGGCTTAAACATCACCATTTGGCTAAGGGTATGACGAGGAACCCTGTCTTGGATCCATCAAGCATGTCTATGGTTTTTCAATGATCAATTTGGAGATATGAATGCCAGCGGAAACACCCTCAATATGACTGGGATGGAATGTCCGAAAAAGCTTTCCCAACGCAAACGTGATGCCCCCCGCACAAAATAAATTATTTCTGGCTGCAAACTACCAATTGCCAATTTGAGAAATGACAGACCCTGGGGGGTCCAGTTGATTTTATGGCATCAAATAACATGAGCCTCACAAAATGCAACTGGGACTCATGCAGTCCCAAGCCAATTGTTGCGACCCTAGGTGACCCCTGATTTAATTTCCACAAATATTCACAATCCACCCCCCCCCCAACCTCCCTGCCCACTAGTTCCCCCCTTCCATTGGTGCGGGAGGGGGGGGGATCAAAAATGATACCCGCATGGCAATTGGACAATTCAATTGCATTTGGCATGCCAATTTTGTCTCAAACTTGCCCCCCCCCCCTCCAGGTGCGTGTTTGCCTTTTGTTCTTTTTCGGCAACCATCTCAACAGGGGTTCCAGACTTGCCCAATTTGAGTGTTTCCCAAAGTTTGGGCCTCTTTGGGATTTCTATAGATGGAGCACCGACACCAAAACACTCGATTTTGGGGGAGGTCTACTTTAAGAGACACTTGTATCGGCTATGAACCTTCACAACAAACCCCCCCCCCCCAAAACTAAACGTGGTTGGTGGGCAGAAATCCCCATGCACATGATTTGTTTGATGTCCCCGAAAGTTCCCACCGGTTTGTCTCAAAATGGGGCAGACCACACAATGGTGTTGTCCCTTTGGTTTACCTTTCAACCAACACGGAGGCTGTTGGGAAACTGACATCTTCGGCTTGGGAAAGTCTGGGTATGCGTCAATAGGGATCTGGATCCCCCAAAATGGTGGGTGTCTTTCGTTGTCTCTTCAAGCCAACCTGAAAAGGGTAGCCTCAAACACAGACACACAACACACAAAATCACACAAAACAAGCGTCACACACACACACACATCTGAACGCAGGATACGCCCTGTCCATGGGACGCCCGCGGCTCCTCCGCGCGCTGCCGGTGCCACGCTGTCCACCCTGGCCGGCACCGGAACCGTGCTGCTGGCGCTGGGCGCGGCGTCCAGGCAATCCGCTTCCGCCTCTGAGAGGGTTGCAAAGCTCGAGATGGAAACCGTGCTGCGCTATCCAGGTGGCCCCTGTGAGGTACCTACCCAATGCCCTCAACCTGTTTGCCGCGCAAGAGTCAGGTCAATGCCGATACACTGATAGGTTGCCCCGTGAGAAATCCATTGCAAAAAAGGCTAGGCGGGGTATGTCAGTGTGGGGTGTGTAAGTCGAACCTTAGAAACGTGTTGCCCGTTTGTTTGTAAGGGCTCAACCTCGCGCCGAACCCTGGAGAAGGTGCTTGAATATCTATTTCCTCGCAAGGGTTTGCATCGTAGGACGAGCGTTGTGTATGTTTGGGGCATTTCTGACGGTGGGGGGATGTATTTGAGTTTGTTGGAAACCCCTTGTTGGCAAACAAAACAACTAAGAAACAACCATAGGCCTTGGCCGGTCCACTTGAGCCCGCGAGGGTTCGCTTCTAAACGCGCAGGATCACTTGCTCACGAGCTCATGAGATGTCACTTGCAAAGTTGATTGCGCGGGCACAAGATCAAGGCTTGGTGTCCTTGAGGTTGAGACACTGCACATGGCCCTCATTGCGATGGCGCCACTAGCCTTTGTTTGGCTCAATGATACGTTCATACGCCACAAACCGCCCCGAGAGCCCCCAGCCCCGCCGCGAGAGTTCAGGGTTCAGCTTTCCAGGAGGAAACAGGGCCCCGTGAAGGATTCAACCCTTTTCCCGCAAGCAAGCGCAGGCGACTCGCACAGTTTTTGTGCCCATTAGATGGCAATGGCCAGTTGCACAGGTCTAATATATATGTATATATTATGTATTATATATATATATATATGAACACATGGCCAGTTTGGACCTGTTGGGGGCTGACTTTCCAAAATTAAGCCGAAAGGGTAAATCAATCCAGCAAGGAAGGGTTGCATGTATTCAGCGTTTTGCCACGTTTCAGGCTCAGTGTCTCCGCGAGAGCAGACTCTGTGAAGCTCTTCTCGCCGGCGAAGGTGAATCTCTTCTTGAGGATCATCCGCAGAAGGCCGGACGGATATCATGATCTGGCGGCTTGGCCCAATTATCAGGGGACTCCCTGTAGAGGTTGCTTTGCTTTACTTTCCTCCCGAGAGACCCCCTTTTTGAAGGTTGGTTTCGTTTGCTTTTCCTTGCAACCCAAGTCCCCGTACAAGTCCCCAAAGTCGAGAATGGACTGGTTGGAAGGCTGGGCTGGACTTGGGGACTCGCCAGCCCATCGGTGCTCTCCAGACCCCCGCTTTCTTGTCGCCTGAGGGTTTGACTTGACAACAAGTTTGGAGTCTCCAAGGAATGCACCCAGAAGATCCTATGAGTTTGGGCTGAGCCCATTTGTTGCCGACTCCAAGGGGATATCTCAAGTAAACCTGGGTAAGAGTTTCTTCGAAGTGCAGCTAACTCAAAGCCTGGTGGAAGCCTCCGAACGTCTTTGGCCAACCCCCAGGCCAATGACACGGAAGCCTCGATTCGCTGAGGCATCGCTTTTCCAGACGGTTGCCTTTGGAGACACCCTGGAAATTGAGGCCGTGCGCATGGTCTTGGCACTTCCTTCCTTGTTACCCCTTGGCTCCCTTGTTACCAGCCTACTTTGTAATGGACATGATATGCTACGTATTTTAGCATATAATTTTATGCAGCCCAATGTATGTATAATATATAATTGATAGTACATAATTTCATAGCCTTTGCGGGAGAGGGTATGAGCAATGCCGAAGCACCTTGACGTTCGTGGTCTCGGAGTGGCGCCAGCGACAGAAGCCTCGCGGGTTGGGTATTGTGGTACCCTTCCACGTACCTACAAAGCGTGCTTGGACCCAGGGGAGATAGCAACTGGAACTCTTTACACAATTTTCTGGCACCCCTTTGGATTCAAACAATTGATTTTCTGTGCCACGTGTCAAGCCCTTCCAGATGGCTAGTTTCATTGGGTCCCGTCGCAAGGAACAGAGGGGCTCTTTTGACACAAACTCATGTGCGTGCTTCAAACAATGGGGAGGCGCCTCAATTTGCCTGTTGGGGTCCAAGTGCGATCTCGGAGGCGTTGCCAGAGGGTGCCGAGAAGGACGAGTTGGAGTGCAACCTGCCTGGGGTGCCGGGAGCCGAGCATACCTTTCCTGCATGCCCTTTGATCTATGGCTAAAAGTAGTCAGGGCTTGTGTTTCTTGGACCTCCGAACATGCCCGGTGTTGAAATCGGCCAGATGTTAAAGTCTCTTGCCCTCTCTTAACAGGGAAGCAATGGGTGTGTCATTTTAGGAGGTACCCTGGAAGCCCACTAGAAACCACACATTTGGGGAGTCGCCTATTTTGAGACACACTCACACGATGTGCCAGCATAGCTGTGTGCTAAAGTGGCTGTTGGCTTTCTTGACAGCGGGGAGCTCTCACGCAGAAGCAGTGTTTTTTCAAATTAAGCACGCCCATACATTAATTTTGATTCAAGTGCATCATGCTATGCATCAATGGATGTCTGCTTTTGCAGTTTGGGCGGCCGGTTTTGTCACGTCATTCATGGCAACCACAATGGTGGCTTGGAAGTCAATGGGCAACACCCTCTAATTGCTAAACATGGCCGGTGAGCATACATCCTAACGTAAGTGATGTTCACCAAAGGCCTCTCAATCACATATCATACCCAGGTTCTGTCAGAATGACCAGCAGTCACGATTTTTGATTGGGAGGGACATTGGGGGGCGGGGGGGACGAGCTCTCTCTTTTTTTTCCCTCTACAAAACCCAAACTCACAAAATATGTCTCAATAAAAAGTATGTTCCCGCATTATTGGGGCACTTCCCTTGTTTCGTGTCCTTTTTCTTGCAGGGGTGTCTGCTTTCAAAACCAACAACACGAGTACCGAGGCCGGTGGACGACTCCAACCTCGTGATCCGAGCGCTGAAGTGCGCTCGCCGTCCGCGGAAATCGGATTTTCCCGGTGCGGTTCACCCAACGCGAGGGCCTGGCAAAAGGGGAAAGTGGACCATTCTTGTTTCTGTAGGCCGGGGGAAGGATAGTTTCTTGTGTCGTTTCTTGTATATTTCGGTTCGGTTAATCTGTGGGGGATTGTATAGAAGGAGTGGTCGAGCCCCCAATCAAGCACCTGTCCTTTGGTGCAAGGGAAGTGTGTGGAGGGGAGGGGAGGCTCCTAGGTTTTGGTTGGTGATACCAAAAATAGAAAGGATTTCACCAACTCACTCGACTTGGCATCCTAAGGGAGGACCCCAAGTTTCAAAATGGAAATGTTGACACAACATCTGCTTGCATGGGCTAAGTCAGGCTTGCATCCCCCCGCGCAATTGTGGGACTTACAAAGATAATTTACACTAGGCCCCTTATATGCCCCATGGCCCCCATAGCCCAAGAAAGGTATCGTAAGAAGCCATTTGATAGCCGTTGGGTGTGGTCTTGGTTTCCATCCGGCATCGGACGGCCTCCAAGAATTCAGCCTTCGTACTTTGTGTGTCAGCCATATTCAGTCTTGGAGGCTCTTCCGGAAGAAGAGCGGCTTTCGCACCTTCTTCAGGGTGAACTTGGAAAAGGAAATTCCCGCGCAGGCGCATTCGGGTTAGCCAACGTGCAGGTTTTGCGCTTTGACTGCCTTGTTTTAAGGGTCTGAAGGGTGTACCTTTGCTTTTTAACCAGGGAAAGTCAAAAAGCAAACCCTGGAGCAGTAGTGCAACTCATGATCACTTCTTTCATGGTCAAGCTTGCCCTGCGTGCTGGTTTGTCCAGGCTGGAATGGGTGGTGGAAGCAGCAACTCAGCTGTGTGGTGAGGGACACAGGGTTGCTCGGCCTCTAAAGGATCACAAAATTACAAGGTAGAAAGTTGGTCATTGGTCAGGCAATTAATTTGACCGCTGGGACATTGTTGATTGTAGTTTCCCTGTGGTTTCCAAGGAAGCAACCAACGGAAATCGGGTGCCCTCGAAAGCGACACGCTCATATCCTTCAAGGCCTAATCCTCGCACGGCGCGGCGTCCTTTTCCGTTGCTTGCCTTTCGGGTGCCTTTGGTGCGAAGCGAATTGGTGTTTTAAACAGACCTCACAATTCCCGCCCGAAAGTGTCCAACCGATTCGCGCTAAGGCAACGCAGCCACAGCCTTCTTTGGTCTCTACCTCAGTTGCGGATTCGAACTGGCTAACAGCGCGGCGAGAAGCAGATCCTACCCCTTATGGGCGGTTTGCATTGGTGGTAGAATGGTGAGGTGCAATGTTTTAAACACCTGAACAACATACATTTTCTTGTTTTGCCGGTTAGGATACCTGGCTACCTTCCCCATTTGCTTGAGGCCAGTCTGCCATTCGGGCCTTCAGGTGCCAACCTGCTCTGCGGCATGAAGGCCTCGCCTGAGGACTGCGGACCTCCCATTCTCGGGAGGCATTTTTGGATGTGCGTTTCAATGGCGACCCCCCCCCCCAACAAAGAAGAAAGAAAAAAGAGACAAACACGTGGGTGGAGAGGGAGATTTGCCCCGGGATTTTCCGTTTGCAATCCATCTTCCAAGACCTTTGGAGGGCGCGGAGGTGTTTCCCATCTCATATCACCGGCATGTTGCCCGGGGGGGCGAGGTTTCTTGATCGATGGAGAAGTGCTTCGCTCGGCCCGATGCAGGACTTGATCAGTTGGGCTGACGATCCAGTCATTGGCTCCGCTGCCGCCTCAGCAACCTGGAACAGCCAGGTTTGTGTGGAACGGCATTCTCTCTTTCTCTCTATCCCTCTCTCTCTCTCTCTCTCTCCTTTTCTCTTCTTATTATTCTTCTTCTTTCTCTGTGTTTTGCTTCTGTGTTTGTCTCTTGTTATTTATCGTTCTTTGCTTTGTCGTTATCTTTATCTTTCATTGCTTTTTCGTCCTCTGGTGTATCTCTATTTGCGTTTCGTTCTATTTTCCATCTATCTATCTATCTATCTAACTAACCTATCTATCTATCCATCTATCTATCTATCTATCTAGCTATCTATCTAAATCTGCCTGTCGTGACTGCGACTGCCGTAAATTCCGCAGCTGACCTTGAGTTGTGCTTTACACGGCGCCCAGGATGCGACCTTCTTCCTCTCCGAAGGTTGGACACTGGGCATTTCTTGGCGCTGTGCACAGACCACCTCGTGAAACATGAAGCTTCGGAGGATTTGTGTGTTTGAGGTTAGCATGATGTGCCCAGCTGGTTTGGTTTGTGGTAGACAGTTGGGAGGCTTGTTGTTTGCTTCGAGTAAATTCAGGCGAGATGCAAAGAGCAGCGGCTTCGCTACTGATGTGATGTGAGGCACTGCATACTGCACGGGAAGAGGTGAGATCGTGACGCAGTCCTGGCCAGATTGCACAAACACTCTCCAGGGGTGATTGTATATGCCTTTTTTGGTGATTTGACATCATCCGCTGGTTGCGCGATTGTCACCGGACTGGCTTGTGCAATGGCAGGCCGATAGACGGGCTGCCTATCAAGGATGGGCTCAGCGTGTTCCTGGCTTCGGCCTCAAAAAGCCTTGCCATTTGCCTCTTGGAAGGCCGTAAGCTCTTGCCTTCGCAAGAAGCCCATGACCGATTTTGAGGTGGGTCCAAATGGGTAGCCGTGAAATTCTGACAAACACCGCGGTGTATGCGTTTTGCTTGCGCATGAGGTCAAGCCGAACTACGGACTGTCCACCGGCAAAGTCTTCAAGGCCGGGCAATGCGGGAAACAAAGGGACAGTCCTAATTAGATGGTTTGAAGGAGTGCCCATGAAGCATACGACCTCTTGTTTAAAGCAAAGTCCTAAAATGAAGTTGCTTTAGATTGCTTTGGATTATATTGGTATTGAATTTCAAAAACTAGTTTCCTTAAAACCCAACCCTCGATTCTCCATGTTTCCCATTTGGGATTTGACCATGTTTGGGTCTACGCTGAATGTGGGTGTTCTAGTAGGTTCAGTAGGGTCCCGAAACGTCAACCCCTGACAAGCTCAGATGTGGGTGTGGGTCAAAATTAAACCACCAGGGAACTCCAGGTTTTAGTTCCATGTTTCCATTTACCAGGGTTCCATGTTGGTGCCACTTTTTTGAGCCACAGCCCTGGCTGTCTCCCCGAGTCTTTTGTCTCCAAGCTCTCCAGGCCATGGACCTTGAGGCGTTGAGCAAAGTGGACCCGGAGGCCTTCGGCTGACAAGTCGTCGGAGTTTGATTGGCGCTTGGGGGTGGATGCGTGTTTATGACATACATGATTAATGGGTTTGCTGTGTGTAGGTTTCCCGGCTGTGCACGATCAATTTAGCCTGTTTGATTGACAACGGGCATTTTTGGTGATTGGAAAGCATTCCGGACCTTGATGTCCCATGCCCCCTTCCTGGGCAAAGGAATATTGAATCCTTCTGATCGACCCATGTTGACCCGAACAAGGCCTCATGCGGCCTTGGATGAAACCTGGGGCGCCGAATCCTCTGATCTTTGGTTTCAATGGCAGGAGCTGCTGAAGGCCTTCAAAGAAAAGGCGCATGCCAGCGGATCCGGGAGGGTGTGCGAAAATTGGGAACCTGCTTCGGGGATAGGAACCCAGCCAGGCACTGGGACTGGATCTGGAAGAATGCATGAGACTGACTGGCCAGCGAGGTTGAGATGGGTGTGTCTTTGGTTGGGAACCCCTTGTTGGTTGGTTTTAAAGGGAAACCAAAAGGAAAGCCACTTTTTTTGGAGGGGGGGGTGTCCCCTCATGTTGCCTGGAGAACTTCAGGACTGAGAGAACTTGTGACTTGATGTCTTCACAGTCCCCTTTCGGCAAATCCGATTCCGGGACGTAGCATGTTCAGCAAAAGTCCCAAATGGGCGTGTCCTTTTTGTTTTTGGGGGCATGTAGTTTTATCATAGCATGTTTCCATGCCACGGCCAATGCGCCGTTTGGCTCAAGCTTTTCACCGCGTCGGACTCCGCCGCCATAACGGCATCGGCTGCCTGCGGCGCCGCTACCCATCTCGGTCTTGCAAAAGGTCGGGCTGGGGTTCGCGGCGGTAGGCACGTTCTTTGGTTGTGGGTCGGTTGTGTGTCTGGTGGTGTGCACCTTGTTGCTGCTGCTCCGCTTTCGCTTGGTTAATTGCTTTGCTCGCTCGCTTGCTGCGCTCGCCTGGTTGGCTGCGCTGGTCCCCTTTCCTGTTTGGGTTTTGCGGTTAAACAGGATTCCCCGTTTGTTATCTGAGTGGTTCATTGCCAGCCGAGGGCACCACTTTGCCCTTGGGACTGGGGGGCTTAAACTGTCTCTTCTTGTTGGTGGGTTAGGGCCTGTTTATTCTCTCCCGAAATATTGTTTCAAACCCTTTCGCAGGTTGTCAGCCGTAGGATTCGTCCTCGGTTGGCACCGCGAACCCCTTTTAATAACAACCCTGCAGGTACCGTAGGTCTCTGTAGGCGTCATGTCGGGAATCATTGAGGACGGACCTCATGTGGTGACTGACGAATGGGTTCTCGGCCAGGCCGGAATCTTGGACGTTGTGAATGACGACCAAGTGCCCGGACAGCCGATGTTTTCCGGTCCTGACTTTTTGTCGGACCACTCTTTTTCAGAAGCAATGCCTTCAGGAAGATCCAGTGCTACTCGCACTGATGAGCTATCGTCCAATGCCTCAAGAGCTAATCGCTCTCAGGGTCATGGGGCTAATCGTCCTGACCATGATGATTCCGTCTCAGGACGTGATGATGACGAGCCCGGTATTGCACCTGGAGCTCAATCCTCATCTTTCCCGGAGCTGATGAATATTGGTCAGTCCGAGTTTCGTGACTCTCAAAGTAGCAGTAGACCTGTGCCAACCAGTAGTGTAGTTTTTCAAGTGCTCGGTAATCCCGAACCTGGTACATCGAGTGGAGTTGCATTTGATGTTCATCTGCCGACCGAATCCGGTGGGCTCGATTGGAGAGCCTCATGGCCCAACGACGGAAATATTTTTGGTATGGATTTTGCCGCATGGATGCCAGGGCCACCCGCCCCGTCATCTTTCCCGCAATTCCAAAGCCCAAAACGGGCTGCTGGAAGCGATGAATTCATGCTACCTTTGTCGATTGAGAATCTCAATCCTGACGTGGCCAGCCGTAACGTCAGGCCAAGGCCGTCGGTAAACCCGACCATGAGGAACATGTCCCCTCCCCCAGGACTTTCAGGATTTGAGAGCCCTAGGGAGCGTAATATCGTAGATAGATTGGATTTGCATCCCAGTCCGACCCCGAGCAAACGATCAAGGTCAAATTCGACTGGATCGCATAGGGCAAGGGGGATGGATCGGGAAACCGCCCACAGGGGTAACCCCAGTGCGCGGGACTCAGGACGCGGTCGATCAGGTGATCCAGCGTCAATCATTGGTAGAGATCCGCTAAACGCGGACACACTCGTTAACGTGCTTGATGGAATCGAGGCATTCCAGGAGGAATTTAATAGGTCAAGTGGCATGAACGCACAAGGTGTTCGCCCTACGCCCAACGCGGCTTCCATTTTCGCCCTAGACGACATGGACGGAGCTAATGTTCCGATAGAATCTGAATCCATGATGGCATCAAGTTCTAGTCGCAATCATACCATCAGTAATGCGACTGATATTGAATCGATGTCTGAGTCTAGAGTGTCCAATGCGACCGACTTGAATGACATTGTCATTGCTGACTCGAGACCTGATGTTCCTATGCGAATGGATAGGCCTGTTGTTCCTAAACTGCCCGTGGCCAAAGGCCTGGGCATGACACAACCCTCTGCGGTTCGTGATGCTAGGAGATCTGCTCCGTATCAGAGTCAATCTCCTAATCGGAGTGAGTTCCCACGGCCATCAACGGCCGTGCAGGATGATTTCAGAACTCCTCCGAGATCTAATCCAATCATGGTTGATTTGTCCACTCCTCGAGATCGCGGATCAGGATTTGGTCCTACGAATGAGGAGCAACCCAACGAGGTTGCTGATCTTGTAACAGCCCTTGAAAGAGGGAGAGTGGACTCTTCGGTAAGTGCAATTATTCATCGCCTGGTTGCTAAGGTCGAAGACCTTGGTCGTAGGAATGATAGAAGTGATCAATGCATCAAGCAGCTCTCCACTGAGGTTAGCTCGTGGAGGGCCAAATACGACCAATGCGTCCATATGAGTGGCACGTGTACGCAGGCTGCGAACGCGGCCATGCAGCTATCACAAGGGACTAAGGACATCGTGACCGAGCTTGGCCAACGCGTCAAGATCGTTGCCGATCGCATGATAAGCATAGGCGATGCCCTAAACGAGCGAGCCAGCTACGATGATGTTGCTCGCTCCATCACCCAGGTTCAAACTGTTTTTGAATCTCTCTCTGATCGAGTAACCGGGCTTATAGCTCGTGTTGATATGATCGAGAGATCTCTAGTGGAGAGCCAATCCAACCATCCTGCAATTGGTGGGGTAAACCTCAAAATCGAGGACCTGTCCACTAGGGTATGTCAGATTGATAGGATGATGCAAGATGTCGAACAACGCTGGACCAATAATAGGGACGGCATAAAGTGGGTTAAAGACCAACTTTATGAGACACAAGCCAACCTTGAGATGAAGTCAAGGGACTGCAAGTCCTACACGGACAAGCAAAATACTCATAACATGGCCGTTTCGACTACGCTCAACAGTAAGCTCGAGCAAATGCTCGAGGTGCTGGGTAATACGGCCCAGAGAATCAGCTCCATCGAGTCAAGGCACTCGAACCAGGCCTCAAGTAGTGGATTGAACGATCACACAGGAGGAAGGCGAGCCGCGTCCCGTACTCCGGATAAGCGGCCACCTCCTCCTGGCCCTCCTGATGGTGATCCTCCACCACCTCCTCCTCCAGATTGGCAAAGCCCAGGTGGAGGGGGGAAGAAGAGTGCTGCCGGTGGGAACCCTGGCAACCCTGGTAAACCCAGATGTAAATATGTAGGTGATGGGTATAATCATCTCGTGGCTGAGTTTCACTGCAAGGGATGCAGAGGTGATATTTGTGAGTATTGTTTCTCATTTAAAGAGAACCTGTGTGAAGAATGTTCCCGTAACGGACCCCGATGCGGAGTCTGTAGGGAGAGCTCGTTCCTGACCAAGGGAATTGAGTGTCAATTTTGTAAGACCTACTACTGCACTAGACATTCTGCTGGGCAGGATGACTACAGGAGATTTGGATTTGTCCAGGGTCCCTGTTGTCTTGCGTGCCTTAGGGACGAGACTAGGAGAAGAAGGGATCCCGATGGTAACCGTGTCAGGAATAGGTCGCCTGGAGGCATACCTGAGACGAACCCGACGCGGTCGTTCTCGCCGCCTCTGCGGCCACCCGTTGACAGATTCCGTGACACCCCAACTGGGGGTCAGCCCGGTGCGGCTAACATTCAGAGTCCCCCGAAGGCTACGCACCCCGTGCCCCTGGATAAACGTGAAACCGGATATTATCCAGGATTTGATCCCAACGGTGCAAGGCCGAAGGATCCTTCAGGCCTTGAGCCGCCGACCATGCGTGGCCCCGATCCTCCTGACAAGAAATGTCGGATGTGTGATCGGGATATTCCTGATCCCAGTAAAATTGAGGAATGTAAGATATGCATGAAAAGGGCATGTGAGATTTGTATTCCGAAGGCTACACGCCTTTGTCCTGTGTGTGCATTGTCAATCGGTAGTTCTCAGGTTCCACAGCATCTTTTCGGAACTGGTGGCGGCGGATACAGTAGCCACCATGATCCGAACTGTACAGCTGCGACTAAGTGCATTTCCATAGACCTCCCGCCAGAGCCCGACGCGGCTGGGCTGAGGGTATGGATAGCCAATATGAAGGAAGCTGTTAGCAATGCCTACAGCTATGATGGACTTTACGTCATCAATTGGCTAACTGAAGTCGAGAAGGCAAAGACCTTTGATGAACTGGATGGGGAATGTAAATACCACATCCTTGAAGCCAGGTTCAATGCAGCCATTCGGAAGTGCATCAAGACTGTTGCGATCATCGATAAGATTAATCGTCTCACCGAAGCCGCTCAACGCTCCAACAATCGCATCAAGAGTAGGCAGATCCTGTGGCTCTTATACGACCACTTAAGGACTGCGAATATCGGAGAGCAATCGTTCAGGATAATTGAGCTCTCAAACTTACGATGCAGTACATCATCTTTCTATACTGAAGAGGAGCGACTTGAAAGGTTCATCGCGAAGTGGGATC